AGGTCAGTCTGTCGCCAGAGCCCTTTTCCCGGGAACGCGGCTGCGGCTGCTGTTCCGAGGGCAGAACTTTGGCTCCCCAGAATTAATACCAACTTTGCCGTAACACCTTATATTTTAGTGCATTATCTTTCCTCCTTTCCACCCTTTGAGCTGTGATTGCTACTCCACCTTATAAAGGAAGGCCCGGTATTTTCCCTCACAAATAGAGCTGGGTCAATTTTCATAGCCCCTTTGCCAGCCCATTAAGCACTCCTGAATTCACTATTTCTCACCAATATGACAGTGTTTCTGTCTCCGCTCGCTTTTCCATTCTCCCTAAAGCTCGGGAAGACACTTGCTTGTAACCGCGGGTTTAGCATCCAAGAAACCCAAGCATTTGCTTAAACGTAAGCAAAAATTTAAACGTTGCCATGTCTTTACCAACGGGCAGGATTAGCCAGAGCCCCGGCTTAGCATATTCCCAGAAGTAAAGTGAGCTTGTTCTCGGGATGCGATTTATTTAGTTAATGACGGTGTTAGGGGGCTCCTTAAGGATGCTCACCCTTTGGCTGGGATCAGAGAACGCGGTTCTCTCCCACGAGGGGCTTCGCCCTGTGGAAACACGTGGATGCCAGGCGCCGGAGCGGGGTGGAGCGGGATGCCCGGGACCGCGCTGGACCGCGGGAGCACGTCCTCCCGGGAGCCTGGCTGGATGAGCACCCACGTTTGCTCCAGGTGTGCAAGGACGGGAAGGAGTTAAACCAAGCCACCCCAGGACCTTAATGTCCAGCATAATTCAGACCATTTAATTAGTGTCCCATGCTCGGCGTGTTCGATAGTGTTTTCCCTCCGGGGGGGAAGCGCACCGGCTCACATATATTGCCTGTTATCTTTCAAGTACTCGGAGCAGAATGCTTTTTCAGTAACCTCATCAAAGGATAAGCCAGGATTCAGATAAGCTTTTCAAGGAGGAAGTCAGGGTTATAATTTTCAGAGACTTCTGAATGTCACCTCCAATTTTCAGCTCCGCCGTTGGAGCGGCCGTTTTTGGAAGCCACCCAGCCTCAGATATTGAAATGAGTGACCTGTAGACTCGGGCCTCCTCAGTTCCTGGTCATTGTCAGTCTGGCAGATCCCGGAGTTGAAAGTGCTTGAGATTTCTGACTTTATAATAACGCGGTTTCTCAGAAGTGCAAATTACAGAGGAATTGGTGCTAAACTCCCCATTAACTGTAGAGCCCGAGAAATCCTCAGTGTCCCAAATTACTTGTCACTTTCTCTGTAACACGGCATAATTCTGTCGCTTGGAAAAAAAAAAAAAAAAAAGGCCATAATTTGAAATTTCAGTGAAATTCCTAATTGACTGCGCAGCTCGCTTCGCAAGCGTGCCGTCCCCCCCTCTCAGCTGTAGGGCAGTGTGTGTTTGGCATGCCGACGCCGACAGTTTCTCCCCTGGGCATTGCGATGCTCCCCCAAGCCCCCGCGTGGGATCCCGCCGGTGATGCTCCCCCCTTCTTCGGTCTCTTTAGGGTGCTGGGAACCCTTCCGCAGCGCTCAGCTTCCAGAGAGTGTGGGGAGAAGGGTGTTTTCAAGGATGCCCAAGACTCCACGTACAACCTCTGTTAGCTAATGGGATGCCCCAGAGCGTGGGTACAAGCTCGAGGCTAAACACGCCGGCGGAGGGAGAGGGCGGCAGGAAAACTCCAGCTAAGGCTAATTTCAGGGTTAACCCGGCTGCTGTGCCTATAATAAACCCACATCTCACGGGAGGAATTAGCTTATTAGAAAGGATTTGAATATGGGAAGGCAGGTGGTTTTCCAGAGCTGGAGATGGAGGACAGATATAGGTGACGGCATTGACAGCACGTAAGGAATTAGACTCTGAACTGGTTTTTTGAGGGGGGCATTTTGTTGTGAATTAGAAATGCCTTTTGGCCATGTTTCCAAGACCAGGCTTTTACCTTTCATTCGTGACCACAAGGTGTTCACAAAAAATTACCTAGACCAAATAAAAAGGACTTTTGCGTAAATACGGAGGGGGAAAACCCAGGAAAAAACAATGACCAAACCGTCGTCGTCTTTCAACAAACGCCTGCCAGGAGGGACAGCAAACCCCTCGCCAGAGCTGGCATTACACCTGCCATTTCTCCCTACACTTTTGGCTTTTGCCACACGCCTTTGGGCAGCGTGGCACCCCTGAGCTGGGGGGCTGGTGGTCCCGTGCCCCGGTGTGACCGCCCCGGGGGGACCGTCCTCGGCCCCGGCAGCTCTTTGTGCTCATCCGCAGCCGCGGTCGTCTCTCCCCCTTTGTTTTTCCCATGCAATTCCCACAACTTCACAACAGCTGGTTTGGACTTATCCCAGAAGGGGAAGAAGGGTACAAGGGTACTGGCTCCCTGGACTCCATTTGCAAACGCGCTCTGGCTTCAGTTTTTCTGAAGCACCGTTAAACTGCTTTCTCTGAGAGATTTCCAGCCCCGTGTAAGTGTATAAATCCGCTTCACCTAACCCTAAAAACTCACGCCCGCCGCAGTCAGCGGCAGCCCTCCCAGGCCTAATTGCACCCATCTCCTGCTCCCTCTTGAAGCGTAGGTTTCTTCTCAAAGTCCTGGAAAGTAGCCATTTACATTTACTTGCCCGCAGTATATTAGTTCTGTAGTTTGGACCTCTAATCTTCATGTCCCTTATAGTTAGAAAGTGATTTGGTCCTTTTAGGTCTAAAATACACAATCCTAGCCATTCCAGGCTATAAAGCAATGTGGACTACTTGTCAGGGCAGGAATACAAAGGGCATAACAACATTAACCTTGCATATAGGGTAGTGAGTGATACTGCGTTCTGTCCTCCAGCAATGTATCAGTCAAAGCACATGAGCCAGCAGGAGAACTGCAGTTTCATGCTATCAGTACAAATCAATAAACAGATACTATTTCCTGTGAGAAAAAGGAAAGTAGTGTGGCAGGGGCACCCCCCGT